TAGATCAGAGATTCATGGCCAGGGACTATCGATTGTCGGGTATTTTATCTCGACAAGACCAACGGTGCGAAACCTCTTTAGCTCCCGTTACGAAATATTCGACCTGGTTGAGTATCAGGATTATTATTACTATGGCTAGAATTACGGTGTAGTTAAACTTTGAACTACTTTCATCAAATTGCAAGGTACAATAGCCCTTTCCAGGTTGTTGTCAAATCACAACAGCGAAACCACATTTTTATATCGAGTGTTTCACAAATATGTAGCATAAGTTTAACCATGAATAACCAAATGAGAATAGATACACAGTATTTATTAACCCACCTCAAAAAATAGAAAAAGTACAGCTTTTTAAAAATCGGTATGAAAAAATGATTTTCTGGAAATAAATAAGCTTTAAATAAGCTTTACATTTCCGGTACCTACTGCTTCATGTTCTTATTAACTATTACTTAATAGTTATTATTCGACGAGTTTATTTAATCTAAATTTTAATAACTTTGATATTCTATAATAATAATAACTTTATTTAACGGTAATATCCTTTACATTAAGTAATAATAAAATTGTAATAGAAAACAAGTAACATATAAGCATAATTAAAGAATACTAAATGACTAACTCAAAGAAACTTTCAGAAAACGCTTGAAGCTATTAAAAGATTTGAAATTAAAAAAGTCCAACTTGACACTGTACATGTTACAAATTCTTAAAATATCATTTAGAGGAGAATTAAATAGATAATTATTATGTGCGAACGATATTTTAAATAACTGGTTTGATCTGCTGTTATACTGAGGAACGTGAAAATTAATTAAATTTAGTATTGAAGTATTAGTAATCAAATTATTCAAAAGTTTATAAACAAAACATAAAGCCTGATATCTTCTTCTAGTTTCAAGTGTAGAAAGAGACATATAATTGAATGAAATATTGTAATCATCTTGCACATAATAAGGCAGCAACCATTTTATATATTTAAAAAACTTTATCTGTATTGCTTCAAGCCCACCAACATGAATTTTGTAATGTGGATTCCAGATTATCGAACTATATTCGAGGATTGAGTTAAAATTAAAATTGAGTTAAAATTTCTAAACTCACGACAATAACGTTTTATGCAGCCAAGTGCCTTATTAGCTCTACAAATGATAAATTCAAGGTGTTGAATAAAAGTTAATTTACTATCAAGTAAGATACCTAAATCTCTCACAGACTGTTTTACTGTAATTTTTGTACTATTAATAAAATAATTCGGTAGGGTTGGAGAGATTTTCCTGCTGAAAACAATATTTCAACATTTAAAAACATTTTATTAATTGCACACCAGTCTTGTAACTTATTTTTTTAGTATTTCTGTGACAACCTGTGCTAAAYTAGCTYTGGCTAATCGTTTCTCACAATATCAAAAGAAGTTACTACAACTTGAAAACTATCAAACATAGGTATAGGAAATGTTAATACAGATCGATGCAGAACTAAATTCTTCTCTATTTAGTGAAGAAATAATTGGGTTAGGGGTAATTGAAGTTTCCTAAACGTAACATTACATTTTGGCAGTTTGTTAATTATTTTTCTAATTATGAATACACCAAAGGAAAGATCTAACCTTCTCGTATACTCAAATACGGTTTCAACATAATAAAAAATGGTAGAGTTATTGATTTTTGAATAGGAAGATTCAAATTCAAATTTTTTTAAAAAGATCTAAATATTTCGAAAACGGTTAAACTTAGGTATAGAGAAGACTAATGATAACTCTCTCAAAATTACTTGAGTAATCCAAAAACGCGATAAGAAACTTTTTTAATTAAAATAACGAAGTTGATATACTTCCAGTGTAACAGAAAGTGCCTCCATCGTAAAAATATTTTTATTGAACACAACGTAACCGAT